GCCACATGTCAACACTACAACAAATGAACTCTACTATACATATATACTAGTGTTAACCACGTCCTTCGCACGAGCTCATATGCATTCTAAACTTTTGACATTCTATAAATATAATTTTGTTTATTTTAAATGAATATTATATTTTTTCACTCTAAGATATATGGAGTATATTTTTTAAATAAAAAGTATACTTTAAATATTGATGTACATGTACTAAAAATTCTATAACTATTTTATCTATACTATATACAAAAGCAAAAGAATTGAGAAACAAAAAGAAGAAAAAAAAAGTATTTTCCGGCCCAGTGTATCCACTGTTGATAAACCCTTTGGAGTATTCCATCAACGGCCTTTATCAAGCCTTGGAAATTGGAATACGCCCCATTAATTTAGTCAGCCGCCCACTTTGGTAACAAAAATAAAGGTACATACTTTGGTAACTGTATTTAATTTGGGTTACTCCAAATTTATTTGTACTCCGTTCATTCTTAAAATATTTTTCTTTTATTATTTTTGTTTTTCGAAAAATACTTTCATTTTCTATTAAAACATCACTTTTTATACATCATATCAAAGATGAAATTGGAGAGTCAACTATAAATATGCACTCTTTATTTTTTCTAAAAGTCAAAATAGAAATCGTTTTTTTAAACGGACGGCGTATTATATAGAGCATGTTTTATAAATCTCAAACTAAGAAAATAAAAAAGAAATATTTGCACTAAGTAGCACTAAAATTCAAGTCATTTCTCTAAATAGCACTTAAACTTTTTTATTCCCTAAATAACACTTAATAATGTCCAGAAGAAGAAATAATGTCCAGTGATGGCGAATATTTACTTGAATAATGACTAATGGATAATGACTAATGGATAATGACTAAAAGTGCTATATTAAAAAAAACATATGATATTATTTAGGGAAAGTCATTATGTTTTGGTGCTATTTAAGTAAATTCGCCAATAAAAAATGGAGCAATGTCTAAAAATTTGGTAATTAATAAGAACTTGGTGTTAATATATAATACATCTCAATATTTGAGTTAAAAAAATATAGGATTCATAATCATTTGTAATCCATAATCTCATGAAAGTTAGTTTAGTTGTAAATTCTTAATGGATTTAACTTTAATTTAACTGTAGCTCCATTGCACTCAGATGAAATTGGAATTTAAATACTTTTACTTTTCGTTAAAATCTCCTTTATACACCTACTGATTATAAATGTGTCTCTCGATCTCATCTCATCTACTCCGTATGTAATAGTAATCTATTAATGACATTGTCATACCCTACATTAAAGTAACGAAAAATTGAAAAGTAACGCTAAATTATACATTCCTTAAATATTACTCCCTCCGTTTGGAAAAAGTCTTCCTACTTTGACTATAAGACAAAATAAAGAAGTGTAAAATTATAGTTGACTTCCAATTTTGCCCCTGATGTGATGGTAAAAGTAAGATGTGATGCATTTATTATTAGAGAAAAAGTATGATGTGATAGATAAAAGTAAGGGTAAAAGTGGTTTTTTAATAGAAAGAGAAAGTGTTTTGTTGAAAGTGAAAAAAAATGAAAGAGGAAGTGTTTTTGAGAACGGAGAGAGTATCTTTTTGAGTGCTTCTATGGTGCACCTTGAGTGCATACCATTTTTTTGTGCACATAAAAAAATTTATTGTTTTATTTTTTAAAAATATATGCTTATTTAAGTATTCCCTCTGTTCCAAAAAGAGTGTTACATTTCATTTTTTGCGCATCACAAAAAGCACGGCTACTCACATCTAAAAATTCTAAAATTTATCATATTTACTCTTTATTATAAGATGAAATTATTTTGAAAGTTTTTTTGGCATTTGAGACGATATAAAAGTGTTTTAAGGGATGCGCAAAAAATGAAACGCAACATTCTTTTTGGGACGGAGGGAGTATGTTGTAAGAAAATATTTATTTTTCTCATATGTAGGTCCATGGTGGCTTTAAATCTAGCATAAAATTTACCTATTTTTTCTTCATAATCGAATTTTTTTTATAAGACAGAAGTAATTAAATTTTTCCGGGAAGTGATATCTTTGAAACAAAAAAACGAAACTATTTGCATATTGCATGCCAATATATGTTATTTTTAGCTGAATGTGGAGTAGTGTTGTTTCATGCATAAATGACTTTTTTAAATGTCCCTTGGACATCCTGAAATCATATACTTTGATTAAGCATTTGAAATCTAAATTCGTTGGGTTCTTTGGAATTGATAAGCCACATTGATTTGTTTTAACTTAATTTTTTTAATCTCAAGTTGTTGAGAATTGAGTAAGAACACACAACAAAATGATTTACTCCACGTCTAAAATATGTATTTAATTTGTTGTACTCCAGATTATTCTATTCCATTGAATTTATTTTATATAAACCACCCTCATTTTATAACATAATATAGCATCATAAAGACTTACCTTGCAGCTTGAGAAATAAAAAATGAAGTTGAAGCAGATCAATGTGAAGGTACTTTTATTTTTTTCACTTACAATTTGTTTGAAAATTGGCGCTTATCTCTTTACTTATGAACCAATACGACAAAAAAAGTTTAGAATTGAAAATTACATATGCATAATAATATTTTATTTTATCAAATATGTAATGGAAAATATAAATAAAAAATGTTATCGTGAGTTTTGAATAGTGTGGAGAGTCATTCGTTGTGGGAAGTAAGAAGTATACTTTTGTTGGTACAAATTGGTAACCCATGCAGTTGCTCTTCATTGAATATAACTTTTCAATGTTAATAGGCTTTGCACAACAACTTAAATTAAACAATGTGTACATTGACTCCACACGTAACATACAATTGGATTTATTGAAATTGAATCCAAACAATGACTCTATTTTGGGATCTCATAAGGTTTGCAAGTCAGATTGGAATTCGGATTTTGACAACGTTCCCAACATTTGTCAGAATTCTTGAATAATGTACGTACTTTAGTTGTTCCAAATCATAAACTAAACTTGAAAGTTAGCACATCAATAATGCTCTTGAGAAATATTATACGTAGTAGATCACATTGATTTGTTATAATGATGGACAACGGCCTGCACCCTCCACAAGTAATATTATTTATAAAGAGGTTTTTTCACAATTTGTAGACGCCTTATGAATATGACGTGAAATTGTTTGTATTTAAATTTAAGATTTGGTACAATACTTAATTTTATTCGAACCTCTATTTATATAGTTAACTTATATTTAATTTACTTAAACGTTGATAATTCAAATATTTTTAATTTATATTTCGCAACATTTTTCTTTCCGTGCAACACACGGGTATGAATATAGTTTAAAAAATATTACATTAAATACAACATAAAAATACCAAAATCAATTTAATAACTTTGAAGGTGAAATGTTTTTTCATTTTTATGAAAGTGAAATATTTTTAAATTAATAATAAAGAGTCTTATACATACTTTTCTTTAAAATTTTACAATCAATATAAAAATAAATTATGCTCCCCTAAAATATTTTTAAATTATCTCAAAATATCTTTGTTTTTATTAAAATATCAACATGGTTTCAATAAAATATGTGGGAGAGAATGATTTTTGTAAAAATTAGTTTCTCCTAGAATATTTATCTAGACACATATTTTCACACAACTAAATGCACCTTAAACTTCCAATATTATCTAATTTTTTTGTTACCTTTTAACTTCTTTTAGTTTCTTTCAACTGTTTCTAATTTTTTTTAATTTAATTCTTCCAACCTTTTCCAACATTTTCAAAATTTTTCCCACTCTTTTAGCTTCATCCAACTTCTTCTGATTCTTTTCAATAGTGTTTAAAAAATTATTTGCATGCACTTTTTGTATTACTATCATCATCATCACCATCATCATCATCATCGTCATCGTCATCATTGCAACTACTATTATCAGAACGGTTCTAGAGCCACTTGCTCTGGGGTGGGGGTTTACCAAGGTGTCGAGGGTTGGAACTATTAATTTTGTGAACAGTGTACCGTAGATACTTCTATTAAAGCCAGTGTTATCTGGAACCACTTAAAGTGAGTGGATGTAGAATCTCTGTGTATTATTATTATTAAATGAAATTAATAATTCTTTTACATGCATGCAAATCATCGAACGAAATTTTTGTCGATTTCAAAATTGATGATGTATTTTTTTCAGTACTTATAAAGTGACTTATAAATCAGAAAAAAAAAATAAATCTAACATATTTAGTTTTAAGCCATCCTTTTCATTTTTTGTTTTGACTAGATTATTTATGAAACTGTCACTTATCTCTTAATTATAAATATCCCCAAATGACTTATATAATATTTAAGTTATTCTATCTACATAAAACAATGTTTAATTTATAGACATTTTTATAAGTTAAAAACTGGTTATCAACAATAGGACCACGACATAGAAACACTCGATCTTTGCGCATTTGTAACACACATAAGCGTACACCCCTTGCATTTTTTATGCACATTAACCAATAATCGCACCTGATCTGTGTGCATACGAAATGATTTTCACTTAAATAAAAAGTGTCAAATTCAGAACAGATGAAAATAAATAGGTTTGCGATGGTTTGATTCACATCGTCAAACCAAAACATTATTGCAATAACCCACAAAGAAATTCAATGAAACTGCCCAAAAGTAACACGTGAATTACTCCCTCGTCCATGTATGATCTTCCCATTACGCGTTACGAAGCTTGACCGACTTTATTTTTCAATTCAATTTAATTGATTATAGGAGTAAAATTTTAAAATAAAATTTATATATATAGTAATAAACTACATGAAAAGTTCTACAAAACTAGAGGTGACAAGAATATATTATTTTATGAAATGACTAGTAAAATTGAGTAAACAAAGTGAGTAAAGTTTGACCCTGTGAATAGTGACTGGGAAGATCTATGTTGGACAGAGGGAGTATTTGTTTTAGTCTGCACATGATATGTGGTCATTCACAACCTCAACCGCCTCTTCTTCCCTTCTATGAAAGTTGCGGTGGCAACCGCATGCGGCACATGTCAATTCACCACCACTTCCTTCATCACCACTTGGCATGAACTCCCTGCAACCGTCAACTGCAAACCCTCCCACATTGGCCGCCACATTCCTTTGGCACTCTGCGTACCTAATGGTGCGGACAACGTATGATGAAGTTGTTGTGTTTTGTGAAGATTCATCGTCACCTTTTTTCACTACCACTTTGTTCCTTTTCATTTCTAAAGTCGTTGTTTCACCAAGAATTGTTACCAAGCTAGCTTTAATGATCCAACTAATAACGGTGTAGAAAGAGATATATAGATTGAGGCTAGATTTCATTTAGAATCAGAGTATATGATTTTGAGAAATAACCCTAACCCTAAAACGCATATTTATAGGGAGAGGGTGTATGTACTCATCTCTCACTTAGAGCATGTGCAGTGGCAAGAAAGAGGGATGCCTTGCACTGCCACATCAGCTTTTTCCACTCTTATCATGGCATGGCAAGGCCAAAATGCCTTTCTTGGTGAGGCATGAGTGTGGCACTCCATCCTTCCTTTTTCTTTTTTTTTTCAAATAATTTTTTTAAAATTTTTATGAAAAAAAATGTACAAGAAAGTAGAATAATTTTTTAATAAAATAAATAATAAAAATATTTTTTTTATGTTTCAAAAAGTAAAAAAATGATAAAAAAATAATGACTTGCCATTGTAGAACTTGCCACTCCATGCAATTGCCACATGCTGACTGCATTATTTTTTATTGGTTAAAATGTTCCATGTCACCGTGTGGCATTCCATTTTTGCCTTGCCATTGTTCATGCTCTTACACACACATGTACTCTCTCACTTTTATTTTGAGATAAGAGCTATGTTTTGCTCCTATTTGAGATAATTTATTTTAAGATTTTAATATTTTATGTTGATTTATAATTGTAAATTAATTTTATTATTTTTATGTAAGTCATGACATTACTTCTTTTTTATTATATTCACATTGATAACAACAACAACAATAATATGGAAAACAGATCTAAAAATCTAGAAAAAACCAGAATGATTTAGAAACCAGAATGATTTAGAAAATCTAGAAAAAATTAAAAGAAAGTAAAAAGAGTTGGAACCTAATTCTACAAGTAGTTATATAGATTTTGATGCATATATTTACTCTGTATCAAGATTTGTTTAGTTTAGATTTTTAAAAGTAGACTAAAATACTTAAATATTATAGAATAAAAAAGAACAATTATGACTTCCAAAATGATTTGAAAAAGAAATAGATAAAAAAAAAGTAATGCAAGGTGTACACCATTTAGTGTACTCCATTTTTACGTACACCACCATGGTTAACCATTGATTCTATATATACTTATTAGTTTTTTTAATCAATATTTAAATTATGTGGTGGAGATTTTTTATAGTACATTTGATGTACATTTTTAATGTACTCCTAGCATTTTTTGAGATATGTATAATTAGTAATTGTTGAGAATTAATTTGAGAAAATACAACAAAAAACTATTTTAGAAATGAATTCTAAATTTAAATTACTCTATTCATCCCATAAAAGGTTTCATATTATTTTTTGCCCGTCCAAAAACAAGTTTTATTTCTATTTTTAGAAACAATGTGTGGCCTTACAAACTCTTTTTTTTGAAGTCGTCGAACCATCCAAAATAAACGGGGACGGGGAAGAAAATATGAAATGTGAATTTGTTTGAGGTAGGGAGCAATACCAGGGCGAATTCCTAGAGGGCCCACTATTAATATTATCTTATGCCCGCTTTGCTTTCCGGATCTAATCTCAGAGGCGGAGGACTTGCGATGCCTAACAAACGCAACTTCGGCCACACACATGATGTGCTACCGAAACAATGTCGATTGATGTTTATTTCCTCTCCTAATAAGTTTTCGCTTTGAATTTCAGTGTGCGGTTGGCGTGAATGAATTACGATGTCTCTATCATCGGCCAAACGATGTGTTTTGAGGATCTAAATCGAGAAAATGAATAGTTTGCAGTGCCGAACAGGGAAGAGGATGGCCACTCACAGCATCTGCGGCTCCAGAAGCATGTCATTTGATTTCGGCCACTTTGGTATTTTATTTTTTTTTATTTTGTTTGGTGTTAGAATTGTTTTTAAATACTTTTTATATAGAAAAAAAATACTTATTTCTAATAAAATCACACAAAACGACTCATTTTTGGCCTTAAAAATGATAAAATACACATGAATTATTTTGGGTGAAATTTGGTTAAAATTGGATCCCATGGATACTCATTTGGGCAAATATTGGACCCAAAGTCAAAATGGGAAATATTGATGTTATTTAATACGAGTACAATTGTACAAATCAATATTCCCATTTCTCATTTCTTTTTTTCATCTGTTTCAAAAATATTTTCTTATTTTTATTAAAAGGTCACTTTTACTCCTATTAATTTTTAATCTAACTATCACATCATATCTATTCACTATTAATCGACTTATCAAATCCAACTTTTACCTATCACATCAAAAAAAAATTTAAAAAATCAACACAAAAATAAACTCCTCTTAAATTCTTTAAATATCAAAACCTTCTGGTGTTTTTAGGGACGAAAGAGTACTTGTTTATAAATAAACATTGATGGATAATGAGTGTGAATTTTTATTTATGATTTAAAAAGATTTGAACTTAAAATTTTGATATGTTCATATTTTTTCACACATACGGAGTACTCCCTCCGCCCCTCTGTATATGTCCACATTTGACTTTTCGAACTGTTCATGTAAGCACTTTGACTCATCAAATTCTTTTAATGTATAAGCCTAAATATAGTCATGTGTGATCTTGTTTGATTTGTCTTAACATATAGATTATTAATATATAATTTCTATAATTTTTTAATATACAAATTACAAGATAAAATGGATTAAAGAAGTGAATTGGATGGTGTGTAAAAATGAAAGTGGACAAATACAGGGGACAGAGGGAGTACTTTTTTCCCATACTTAAAGAGTTCTCTCATTGTACTCTCTAGAAATTGGTAAAAAGATCAAACAGTGATCACTTTTATTTGTGATGGAGGAAGCAATAAATTTTTACAAATGGATACTCTGTCTCAATTTAAATTGTCTATTTTGATTTACAATTTTTGATTGAAATTATTTCAATGTATTAATTAGATATTAGAGCAAAATTAAAAAATAAATTTTACATATTAAAAAACTACATCAAAAGCTCTATGAAACAAGATGTATGTTATCAAATAAGTAACGAATATGAGGAAAGAAAGTGATGAATGAAGTTTGACCTTGTAAATAGTAAACAAAAACAAAAATATATTCCCTCCATACCTAAATGTCTACCACATTTCGGAAAATGAGGCAAGATATCAAGTTTTTTAAAATCATTTTATTTAAATATTAGTATATGGATAAAAAATATAATTTACATATTTAAAAGCTACATGAAAAATTCTTCAAAATAAGAAGTCAAGAATATTTTATTTTATCAAATAATCAATGAAAACGTACAAATAAACAAAAGTTCTTGTCATGGTTGAAAAAGGAAATGTAGCAAACATTTTGCACAAAGAGACTATTAAATAGAGCTTGAAAAAAGTTTCGCTCGACAATAAACACCCGACAATTACAAACAATTATAATTTAATGGTGTATTGAGTTGGAAAACAAATATTTTCCTGTTGAAAATATTTTACAAAGGAAATTATATTCTCTCCACACATTCTGTTGTTTGGTAAAATATAACTTTTCTTCCAGGAAAATATTTTCATTGCGAAGTATTTCTTAATTAGGAAAGAAAATAAAAATCAAAGATTAACTTTCTATCTTTGAAAAATGACTATATTTGAAGGGCGGCGAGAGTGCGGGGGTAGGGTTGGAGAGGGTGGGGGTGGGCAGGGGTCGGAGCAGATGGGGATAGGCAAAGGTGAGGGTGGCATGGGCCGAGGTGGATGTGGGCGGGAGTGGATGCAGTGAGGTGGGTCATGTTGGTGATTTGTGTCATTGGTTATTTTGTCTGATTGGATTTACTTAGATCGGACAAGAATTTAAATAGACGTTGTCAAACGAGTTAGGAGGCGCGGAGTGCGCGCTCGTTCAACGATATTATAAATTCACAGCGGGGTCCGAGGGCGGCAGCCCCTGGGAAGCAAAGTCCGAGGGGCAACAGCCACTGGCGGGGTCCAAGGGGCAGAGCCTTGAACGATTGATCGGAGTCCAAAACAATAAAGGACTCGACCGAACGAGTGGATAACGTCAAATTTGACTCTAAAACCACAGCAGACCTTTCGTTCAAACCCTTCCTTCTCGTGCGTTTCTTCCTCTCCGCGCAAACGTACGCGTCTACGCGAACGTTCATGTCTGGTCATGAATTTTCGACTCTATAAAATAGAGTCTCGTGGTATGGATTGAGTATTGGATTTCGAGTGCTTGTTGTTGATTAACGTCTTATCCGATTAAAGTATTTCGTATACCCCGAAATAACTTTGATCTGAAAGCGTTTATATGTGATTTGTTATATAATCGAGTTCTTCATTAACACTGCTCCGCAGTGTTATTAGTACAAATATTCCTACAGGTCATTGATTGGGTGGGCGGGGGTGGGGGTGAGCCAGGATGGATTGGGGGCGAGTGGGGGTAGATGATGGATGGGGTGGATGGTGGTGGGGGTGGATGGTGGATGGGGTGAATGGTGTGGGGAGGGCCGGAGTGGGGGTGGGGCTAGAATTGGGTGTGGGTGGGGGTGGAGGCAGAGATGGCAAGGTGAGGGTGCACATGGCGGCGGTGTGGTGGACGGGGTGGAGCAAGAATGTGGACGGAGTGTGAATAAAAAATTTTCATCGAAATCAAACAGAAAATATTTTCACCTTGTTAAGAGAAAATATTTTTTTGAGAAAATATTTTCCAATGATTTAAGTTACTAACAAAAGAAATTAGAATGATAATTTTTCGAAAAAAATATATTCCCCAATAATGACTACCTATAGCACAAGAATTCAATTGAAGAAACAATTATTTTTCATTTTAACACAAAACAAATAGTGTATAATTTTTGTTATCAATCACTCTGTAATAAATAAAAGTTTAATAACATAATTAACTTTAATAGCAAAACCATTTTACGATAAACACACAATAAATTAAATCTAAACTTCAAAATTCTTTTTTAGTGTTATTGATTGTATTACAATGTAGTATATTAATTTACTGACGCACAAGGAGCCAACGCCTATG